GCCTCGAGGCCCGCCCCTCGCCTCAAGGCACAGTAACCCGACGACCGTGTAATTTCTTTCCACACACACTAGTCAGATGAAAAAAGGGTTTAAAATATTGCGATCGAATGAATTTAAGGGTTCAATTGACAAATTGATAAATATGAGGATCCAACTTACAAACGGAGCCAAGTATAAGGGTCTCCCAGCCCAGGTCATTCCGCCTTTTTAAAATAAGCACTTTTTCTATAAAAATAAATAAATACATTCAGCCTCCTAAAATGAAAATAAAAATAAATGAGGAATTATCTCACTTGTTGCTCTTGCCCTCAGAATAGTAGTAGCTGTTAAAATCAACCCCTCCAAATTATAGAAGGAGTCGAAACAGTACAAATTAAAATTCAAAAACAACGGTTATCTCCTTCGATAAATCTTGTACCATGTTCGTTTTTCGTAGAAATTGCTGAACCCCGAATGCTAAGAACTGTATAGGATCGACAGAAATGGGTGTAAAGAATCTTTGGGATATCTTGGAATCTTGCAAGAAAACTCTTCCTCTTCATCATCTCCAGTTAAGTCTCTTCCCACTTTGCTTTTACATCTTTTTCTCTTGTTGGGAATTGGGATTTACTGTTCTTCTGCTTAATTTCGTGTACCAGGAACAAGAGGGTATGTATAGATCTTTCTTGCTGGATTGTTCAACTTCACAATGTCAATAAATCCCATTGTGCAATGAAGGAGAAGCTTTATCTCAGGGGCCTATTTCACCGCGTCAGAGCTCTTATTGCTTTGAATTGTAGCGTCATCTTTGTTACTGGTAATTTTTATTTCTTTCTTTGAGAAAATCTATAATGGGGTTTTACAAAAAAAATTAAAAAATGTACTTTACTCTTTTTCTTATTGTGTTTATAATTAGTTTGCTGTGTAAGAGGGTGTTTACTTGAAGATTCTTAATTGTGGTACTCAAGATAATTTTAAGATTTGAGTTTGGTTCCAGATTAGTATTGTTGCTTCACACAATTGAGTAACCTATGACAAAAGAAATTTAGATTCTTTACATATCTAAATACGTCTGGAATATGCATATTGGGAAATGCTGTAGTTAATACATGATAGTTGATACACATTTCAGTGGCTTCCTTTTTTTCCTTTTCCAGATGGAGCCATTCCTGCTATCAAATCATCTACTTATAGAAGGCGATTAAATCCTGGAAATGTGGTAGGATTACTTATTACTTCCTGCTTTCCCTTATCTCCCCGTCCAAAACCTCTTGAGTCTTGACATGCCTCTTTTTCAATTGTTTGTTTACCTGCATTCTAGTTTAAGCTGCTCATTACACACTAGTTTTTATGATGTAGCTCACTCAAGATGAGGCAGCGATTAAACCATCATCCATACGAAGAAACACAGGATCAGAATTTTCACGCATGATAAAAGAGGCTAAAGTCCTTGGAAATGCACTTGGAATTCCGTGCTTAGATGGGTAACTCTTTACCTATGCATATGTATTTCGTATGCTATTGATCTGTCAGAATGCAAATATTCATGTAATTGATAAAAGGAACTCAACTACCTTTTGAGACAACTTTCATTCTTCTCCAAGTGTTCTATGTGATATTATCATTTGTTAGTTTTCCATCTTAACTTGCTCAGGTATCTTTACTTGCAAGAATAAAATGTTTACAGAAACCAGGTCATTCCATCTGATTACAGTGCAATCAATTGTGAATTGATCGTGCTTTAATGATTCGTGTGATATAATGCTTATAACTATTGAGGTGTAGAAAATTTCTATTGACTGCTGGAAAAACCTTTCAGGATTGAGGAGGGTGAAGCTCAGTGCGCATTATTAAACTCTGAATCATTCTGTGTGAGTGGAAGTCCTGATCCATTATGCTAGTAATGCTTCAATTCAGAGGATTAAGTTAGTTGTTCCTGATATAATTGTCATTCTAAAAGACTAAGGGTGTGTTCGGTACGAAGGAAAGTGTTCTTGTCATGGAATATGTTCTTGGAAAATGCTTTTTAGAAAATAAGTGGATCTTTCTACTCATTTTCTTGTGTTCAGTTTGTAAGCAAAAAGTATTAGCCTAAAAGCATTTGTATATAATATAGACAAATAATATGGGAGGTGGTGGGGATTATGGGGTGGGGGTGAAGATGAGGTGTGTTAGAGATTGGGGAGGACACAATCAATGTGGAATGCCACTTGTAGAACTTGTTATCCCTACTTCCATTGTGATTTATGGAAGTCATTTCCTCATTTTTAAGGAACTTGTTTTCTTAGAGAAAATATTTTCCAAATTCTTTTACCAAATGAATATGGGAAAACCGGCATTCTCTCTGACCACATCCTATAGGGATCATCGAATCAATAGCAATAAGCCCGGTTTGAAGAGGCTCATATACGGAACAGTAATACCCGGGCTGGCAGATTCAATTAATCAATATTCAAAAGCAAAAATTTCACCTCTACCATCCATAGGCTTAGCCAGGGCATTTGCAACATGACCCAAACATTTTCCAGAAAATGTTTTCCTACAGGCCGAACACACCCCAAGACTCTGTTCTTAAGAACTTATTACCATAAGAATCATTGTTTATTTTCACTGGAGCTACATCATAATGCACCACACGTTACTGATTATCATTATCAGGATGGATGTTTCACATCAGATTCTGATGCCTTCCTATTTGGAGCAAGGACAGTGTATAGAGATATGTGCCTTGGTGAGAATTGATCAATATTTCTCTGTTCTTTCCTTTTGACTCTTAGTAGTGGATTTTATTTGATTTTGATGTACTTATACTTTTAGTTTGTGAGATTTAGGGGACGGCGGGTATCTAGTTTGCTATGAAATGGATGACATTGAGAGAAAGCTCGGACTCGGAAGGAACTCCTTGGTAATTCTTTTTCCTTTTTAGCTTATATCACTATTGATTACAATGGGGAGGATATTGTAAAACCATATCGGTCTAAGGGAAAACACTTACAATCTATCTCGAGGGGAGAGAATTTTTTTTTCTGTTTCTTGGTTTTATTCACCTCACTTCAGAATACAATGATATGATCAACTTGCAAGTATTAAGTCCTGATAAATGATGTTCTTGGAGAAACTATGAATCTTTCTGATTTTTACCATGAAATCTGATGGTGTCAGAATTTCATAGACCTTGCTTTGTCTGGAACAGCCCAGCAATTGCAACTCATTGTTTAAATTTCTGATGTATTTGTTGGGGTTTGTTTTTTTGGAAATTGTTGTGTCCAGATAACACTGGCTGTTATTCTTGGTGGTGATTACTCTGAAGGAGTTTATGGGATTGGTCGGGTAAGTCTTGGAAATTCTGATTCTTGCATCTGGAAGGCATTCTTTTTCCTCTCAATTTAACATGTATATGATCTGAAATGGGTTAAAATTTGATGCTTATCGTATGACATGCTTCTGCGTTCGTAGGAGTCAGCTTGTCAGATTGTTAAATCAATTGGTGATAAAGCTGTTCTTCAATGGATTGCATCAGAAGGATTTTCCTTTGTAAAGAAGAAAAAAGGTTCTAA